AGTCAGCTTTGCTGAGCTGGAGTCAAGGTGTTACTTCTTCAGCAGGGAAGATGTTTACTGACTGTTTTCCCCATGTGGTGGGCCCGGGTCTCATCCTCCAGTAGGGCAGGCTGCACTTTGGGGGCCTCTGCTTACTTTCAGGACTTGGTTCTGGGGTTTGATTCAGAATGTAGGTGTACATGTGACAGATTTTTATTATTCATATTGGGAAGAAATGAAATTTCTATTGCTTTCCTCCCTCATTCTATATATTGATATTATGATTAATAACTTTTGACATAAAACTATTTTGACATATGAGTCCATGGTGACGTATTTTGACAGCAGCAGTGTTATGCGTTTAGCTTTTCTAACAGGAGTATGTTACTGGGATTACTAGCTCCATATTCTATACCTAAGTCATCAACCAAAGATGTCATGTCCAGAAATATCACCAAAATGTCAACCACAGAAGTTGCTCTCAAATCATCTCTTTGAGAAGCTTTGCATCTTCCTTCCGTGCCGTTCTGAAATGTGAAATTGGTTAAAGACGGGGAGCCCTAAGCTATTTCTTTCCTGGCAGAGACACCAGATGGATGTTGAATGAAGTCCAGTTCTTCGTTTTTCCTTCAGATAATTTTTTGAGTTTGTGTTGGTGATTTGGATCTTTATCAGTGCATCCTTCCTCCCCCAGCTCCCCACAGCTCCCTACAGCCCGGCAGCAGCCTGGTTGCCTTGGTACCTGTTCCTGAAGGCCGTCTCGCAGCAAAATGTGGTTGTTTAAATAGCACGACTTGTCAGCTAAAAGTAGAAGTCATTAGCACAACACCGTTTGGCTAGGGGTGTCTTGAATACTGTTTAAAATTCTTATTTTATCACTTTACTGTTTACTCATGGTGCCATAGGAGGTTTCAGGGTGGGTTCCCAGGGTGAAGCTCGAGTAAGGAATGTGAAAATTCTCCCTGAGGGTCTCCTGAAATTTAGGCCCAAACTGATGGCCTCCTTTAGATATTTACTGGGTTTGTAGATATGGTCAACTTGGATGTTCTAGCACCATTAGTACCTATATGATGGGCGGTGCTTACCTGTAACATAGCAGTGGTCCATCCCTGAACAGCTCTGTGCTGTTTCCAAGGAAAAAGAAATTCCCGAAGGTTTGTGTTTGAACTTCATTTGGCCAAAAACAACTTTTTTTTTTTTTCTTTTGTAACCTGAGGAAAAAATAGGGTATTTGTTTTTAGTTTAGTAGAAAAATTGAATTGGATGCTTTGGGTGGTTGTGTAACCATTTACCTCCACCCAAAATATCAGGGCCAAATAATTATATCAAAATGTGCAACCAGGTGGAACATCTTGACTTTCTGTCCAAGTGAGATGGACTCTCAAGTCCTAGACAGCTGTCATTGCAGGTAAGAGGGGAGGGTCCTGGTGCTCTCTTCCTGGTCGACAGAAAAAGCCCTGTGTTGTGAGGGATTCTGTTAATTAGTTCCTTGAAACACCTTCCTCATTAACTGGGGATGCAGGGTCAGAGAAAACATCTCTGAGTTCAGAGTGCTGGTTTGACAACAGGAAAACAACTTCAGGTATCCGAGTATGTCATCTTGTTTGTAGAGAAGGTCACACACAGCTCCTTTCTGCTGGGAGGCCTTGTTTTATCATTAGGGGATTTGACTTGCTTTGAAACTTTGGTTCACTTCCTCCACTACATACAGAGATAGAGGAGGAGGATTATTTTAGACATTAAATATCTTAGGGGTTTTGTTTGCTAATCTGTTTTTTTGTTTTGTTTTGTTCTCTTTTTTTGGTAGAGTAGGGAAGAAACAGACAAGAAGGAAAACTATTTGTTTTATTTTTATTTATTTGACAATTTTAGGTACACACACACACACACACACACACACACACACACACACACACACACACACAGAGTTTTGGGTGTTTCTATCTCCTGTTACACCCTCACATCCCCTTCTCCTCTCTCACTGAAGCCCTCTTCTTCCAAAAGATACCCTACTTGGGTATCTTTATGTTTTCTTTCATGAACACCAGTGGGGCATGACACCCACTCCCCCAGCACCCCATTAGCTATTCACATTTCTCCCAATAAGGGGACAAAAGGAGGCCTTGACGCCTTGACTGAGTGGGGATAATAAAATGTGGGGCGTGTAAAGGGCAGCAGATACTGGGGGCAGAAAGAATACTTAGCTTTTGAACTCACTAAATCAGCTTGGAAGAAATTATTTTATAGCTTTAAAGAATACAGGAAGCTAGAAATAGTTCACACAATACTCTACCACCCCAAATAACAGTTATTTATATTTTGCTGATCAATACTTAATAAATGTCAAGACAGAAGATGAACCAGTGATATATATTATTTAGTCTTATAAACTATTTAATTTAGTAAATGTTACCTAAAGCTAAGAAAGGAAAATCAAGTTTCTAAAGCTTGACTACTTAACCAAGAATACTAGCATTTTTTAAATTCCCAAAGCATTAATGTAAAGATAGAAATTCTAGAACATTAAATTGTAATTTTATTTCAAACTGTAGATGCATAGGTCTTTATGAATGTTGTCTCATTGGTTGGATTCAGTTATCCATAGGTATTTTATGCAAAATGGCTCCTGTGCTATTACAAAGTACCTCAGGCTGGTTAGTTAAAAAACAGAGATTCATTTTCACAGCAGTGGAGCCTAAGAAGTCTTTAATCAAAGGTCTGTCAGGCTTGGTTTCTGGTGAGGGCTACTCTCTGCTTCCAAGATGGTGACTTCCTGCTGCACGTCAGGAGAGGCAACCTATTATGTCTTTACTCTGCCTGTAGCAGAAGAGCAAGAGGGACGAATTCCTCCCTCAGGCCTCTTTATAAGGGTACACACTCCTATCCACAGGGACTCTACTTTCCCTTTTGAATTACCCCCCTAATGCCTCACCTCTTAATACTATAAATTGGTGGCTGAGTTTCAACATGAATTTCAGAAGACATGGAAACATGCAATACATAACATTTGAGAATATTTGTTCTTTGTTTATTTGAGACATAATATGTCTGAGTATAAAAATCTTGTGTCACTGGGTGGTCGTGGTGCACACCTTTAATCCCAGCACACAGGAGGTAGAGGCAGGCAGACAGCTGTGAGTTCAAGGCCAACCTGGTCTACAGAGTGAGTTCCAGGATAGGCCCCAAAGCAACACAGAGAAACCCTGTCTCAAAACAAAACAAAACAAAACAAAACAAAAAACAGCAACAACAACAAAAAACTTGTGTCACTGTGAATTTTGCTAAAGCAGTATCAGAAGCCATCTTGATTTGTCTTAGTAGCTTGCACTTTTAACTCAGATCTCCATAGATGCTTATTCTCATCCATATACAGCCATAATATTTATCCACGTGTTCTTTCTTGCACTTACTCTTTTTCTCACACACACGCAGTCACAGACATGCACTCATAGATGCACACACTCTCACACACATACTGTGTAAAGGCCCAGTACCCATAATATTATAAAGGAATTACTGCCATGTGAAGACTCAAGCAGTAACCACAGATCAATAAATAGGCTACATTCTGAGCCTCTAAAGTGCCTTGTGGTCTTCTTGCAGTCATTGGAAAGGTCTTCCTTTCTACATTTGTGCCATTTCTACCTTATCTTTTAGTATTATTTTTTTGGTTTAGCTAGTTTTGAATTTCATATAAAGCCCTATCATCCAGCACGCATTCTGTCTTCTTTCATTTGGCATTATGACTTGTGATCTATCCATATTGTTGCCTAAGGCTATGTTTCATTCGTTTTCATTGCTCCCATGATATGAGTTATCTATTTACTAGCTCCAGTTCTCATTCAGATGACATATTTGCTTAAGCAACAGCCCTGTCACTTTTCATACATTCTCTGCTTTGGGATTAGTAGCAAAATTAGAGACTCTTGGTATGCTGCCGTGGGACCCCTGCACGCCCTTTGCATGGCTGTTTCTTCTCTAGCAACGAGAAACTGTTTCTCACACCCACACAGCTTCTCTGGAGATGCCCACTGTTTTCCTCGCCTTCCTTTTAGCAAGCTTGAAACGTTAGGTCTTGGGACTTCTACAAAAACTCACTTGAGAGGCCTTCATTATTGTCACTACAGTCTGTATCATGTTCAAACTCTTGAGAGCTGCATGACTCATGAGAGCTTTCCCCTATTCTCTTCTAAATTTCTCTTCACTCAACTAGTGCTCGTTATAGTTGTAATGCGAACATAACCATTCGTTTCTTTGTCTAAATGATATATTATGGAGAAATTCCCTCTTATCTGAATTGAGGAAGGATAATATAGAAAAATCATTATCCCATTTTATTGTTTCTTTTCTAAGTTATATTAGGATAAACCTTATTTAAAAAACATAACAAAGTAAAACATAGATAACACATCTTTTAGTGCAACCTAACTCAGCTGTCTTCGACCCTTTCCACCCAGTATCTTGTACTCTACTTTTCTGAGTTCATCTTCTGGCTGGACCATCTCTTGACTATCTTGGCTTACCTCTGATACCTGCCAATGTCCCTGAAACCTCTTATTCTTTTTTGACTTGAGTTATCACAAAGAAGTGCCTTAACCGGAGGGGGTAAATTATGATATGAGGCTAGCTTTATGTTCCTTTATAGGTTTTTAATATCAGGGAATGGAGAATTATTGTGTGCTGTCTCTGAGTATGAGCTTAATATTATCATTCATCATCAAAGAGCATCTGAAAACTGCCGTCAGGGCTCCTGCACAAATGCTCCATTGAACTGTGGTGAGGTGTTCTTTGTTCTTCTGTGTGTAATTTCGGGGCAATATGGCATTACCCTAAAGATAAAGCCATTGCTTTTCAAAGGGCACAGTCATTCTTTAAAACATATACACATGTTAAGGATTTTAAGTGACAGCATTACTTTTGAAGAAATATTTTATCTGCAGAATGAAAAAATACAAGTGGATTATTTTATAATTAAGAAGATATTTAGCCTTTATATTTGACTGTATCCTTTTCCTTTCTAGCCCACCAGGAAGGTACCCACAGGTGAACATTACAGCAAGAATAATGAAGTCAGATCCTCATGCACTGTTCTCTCTCAGCCCAAATCACTCCAACTACTATGATATATATTGTTGTTTAGATACATTTATCAGTACCTTAAGTATTTAAAATAGTGTGCTTTTCAGATACCTTGATTTCCTTTATCTGCTATTACCAAGAAATAGTTTCTAATTGCCCTCCCAATAAATATTATATAGGCCCATGCCTCTTTTTTCTTTTATTGAAAATAGACCTTATTCTTACATAATATATCCTGATTATAGTTTCCCCTTCCTCTGCCCTTCCTCGTTTCTCCACATCTCCCCTCCCATTGAGATCCACCCCTTTATGTCTCATTAGAAAACAAACAGGCCTCTACATGATGATAATCAAATAAAATAGAACAAAAAAAAAACCCACATTTGAATAGGACAATACAGACAAACAGAAGGAAAAGAGTTCAAGAAAGGGTACAAGAAACATATAGATGCAGAGATACACTGGTTCACAAACTCTGGAATTTCATAAAAACACTAAACTGGAAGCCATGATATATACACAATGGACCTACAGGTTAAAAAGAGAGATATATAAAATTTAAATAGATAACTTTTTTAAAGGTAAAATTTATAGGAAATCAAAACAAAGAAAAATTCAACGTCATGTTATGAGACAAGGAATTTCCAAAGATGCCATTGAGTTAGAATTTTTTATTGGCCATTTACTGCTGGTAATGCAACCTACTTTTAAGAGTAATTTGTTTCCCCAGTGAGACTTCTTTGGAGAAAGTTAAATTTTCATTTGCACTGGTGATCAATTGGAGATAGCCTCTGGATTAGGTATGGGGGCTTGTGTCTGCCATTCTTTTTGCTCTAGGACCCCATCTGGTGCAGACCTATACAGGGTCTGTGTGTGCTGCTTCAGTGACTGTCAGTTCATATGTGTGTTGATCATGTTGAGTTAGAGAGGCTTGTTTCCTTGGTGTCCTCCATCCCTCTGGTTTCTATACTCTTTCTCCCTCCTGTCTGCAGGATTCCCTAAGCCTGAGGGGAGGGATTTGATGGAGACACCCTGTGTGTGGAAGAACATTCCAAGGTCTGTCTCTCCATCTTTCCTCTCTCTTTCTCTCTGCATATTATCTGACAGTGGGCCTCTGTCATTTTATTGCTGCTATTGGTTTAGTAAGTAGTATTTGTTTTTACCCTAAGTCCTTGGGCTATCTAGATTCAGGTTCTTGGTCACCCAAATAGTTCCAGTCCATTGAATAGACTTAGGTCAAATCAGATGTAGGTTGGTTTACTCCTGAAAGCTTTGGGCCACCATTGCCCTAGCATATCTTATAGGCAGGGCACCATTCTACAATGGTTTGTATCAGAGGGTTTGTATCTGGGTTGGTGTTTATATTTTTTCTTTGGTAGCTTGAAGACTATCTTCCTGTACCTAGGACACCAGAATATAAGAGTGGAAGCTCTACATAGGTACTACCTCATGTTCAATGAGTTGTGTAGGTGTTGTCTTCAGTAGTAGGGCCTTGCTATCAGTTTGCGAAGAGTAACAGTTAGTCTTGGCAACAGCTTGGGTTCTTTGGGGTTTACCGTGGGATCACTTTGGTCAACAACTCTGATGTAACCCATCCACGTACTAGAAGCTTCATATGACGAGGTGTCCAGCTGGGGTTGTGTCTCCTCCATTGTTTGGGGATTCATTTAAATAGCCTTCAGATATGTATATGTTGTAGGGAGCTTCTACTATGTTAGGTTTCTGTAATATTCACGAATGGCCCTTATTTTTACTGTCTCTCCCTTTATTCCCTATTTTGATCCCCTCTACCTTCCTCCTACTATTTGATTCTCCCTTTCTAGTCCCTGCCCCATCCATCCATACCTACCTATTCTATTTTCTAAAGAGATGTATCTGTACACTCTAGTTCCATATGCTATACCTAACCTCCATGGCGCTATAGATTGCAGCTTCATTTTCATTGACTTAACCACTATTATCCACATATAAGCAAATACATACATATTTGTCTTTCTGGGTCTGAGTTCCCTTACTCATGATGATTTTTTTTTTCTAGCTCCTTCCATTTGGCTGGGAATTTCATTTTTTTTTTTTAAGTTTCATTTTACATTCCAACCTCAATCTCCCTTCCCCCCACCCCTGCCACTCCTCCTTTTGGGTAAGGGCTCCCTTGAGTCAACAAAATTTGGCACATTAAGTTGCCACAGGACCAAGCCCCTCTCCTATGCATTAAGGCTGAGCATGGCATCCCACCATAGGGAATGGGAGCCAACAAACTAGCTCATGTACCAGGGTTAGATCCTGGTCCTACTGCCAGGTGCCCCTCAGATAGTTCAAGCTTCACAATTTTTCCCCATATACGGAGGGCCTAGTTTGGTCCCATGGAGTCTCCATGGCTGTTGGTTTAAAGTTCATGAGTTTTCATGAGTTCCAAGTTTCAGGCTTGGTTCAGCAATCTCTGTAGATTTCTCCATCAGTATCTTGACTTCCCTTGATCATATAATCCCTCCTCCTTCTCTTTGACTGGATTCCTAGGCCTGGAGGGATGGCTCAGCTGTTAAAGACTAGGCTCACAACCAAAAATATAACAATTTCATTTTCTTAATGGCGGAGTAATTTTGCATAAATGTACCATATTTTTAAAAAATTAATTCATCTATTGAGAGGCATCTAGGTCATTTCTAATTTTGGCTATTATGAATAGAGAAGCAATGAACATGGTTGAGCAAGTATCTCTGTGGTTGGGTGAAGTAATCTCTGTATACATGTCAAAGAGTGATATAGCTGGGTCTTGAGGAATATCACTTCCCATCTTCCTGATTTCATAGTGGCTGTTCAAGTATATACTCTCATCAGTAAATGATGAGTATTCCCCTACTCCACATCCTTGGCAGCATGAGTTGTCACTTGTTTTTATTGATCTTAGCCATTCTGATGGGTATAAAATGAAATATCAAAGTAGTTTTGACTTGTATTCCCTGGTGGCTAAGGATGTTGACCATTTCTTTAAGTGTTTCTCAACCATGAGGTTCTTCAAGAATCCCATATTTAGATCTGTACCTCATTTTAAAATTGAGTTAGGGTTTTTGATATCTAGTATTTTGAGTTCTTTATATATTTTGAATATTAGCCCTCTATCAAATATGTAGTTGGTAAAAATCTTTTCCCATTCTGTAGGCTGCCACTTTGTCACAATGGCATTGTCCTTTGCCATGCAGAAGCTTTTCAGTTTTATGAGATCCCATTTATGCCTGTGCTGATGGTATTCTGTTCAGAAAATCTTTTCAAACTGTGCCAATAAGTTCAAGTCTATTCCCCATTTTCTCTTCTATCAGGTTCAGTGTTATCTGGCCTCATGTGGAGGTCTTCGATCTATTTCGACTTGAGTTTTGTACAGGGTGGTAACTATGGGTCTATTTGGATTCTTCTACATACCACTTAGTTTTACCAGTCCCATTTGTTGAAAATTCTTTTTTCCAGCATGTATTTCTGGTGTTCTTATTAAAAAAATCCAATGTCCATAGGTGTGCAGATTTACATCTGAGTCTTCAATTCAATTCAATTTTTGGTCAACATTTCAATTTTTGTGCTAATACTATGGTGTTTTCATTGCTCTAGCTATGTAGTACAGTTGGTGATACCTCCAACAGTTCTTTTATTATTTAGGATTGTTTTTAACTATCCTTTTTTTTTTTACTTTGTTATCTTGTGTGTGTGTGTGTGTGTGTGTGTGTGTGTGTGTGTGTGTGTATGTTTCTTTATGAAACTGAAAATTATCCTTTAAATATCTGTGAAGAATTGTGTTAAAAATTTGGAGGGGATTGCACTGGAACTGTAGATTGCTTTTGGTGGGATGGCCATTTTTACTATATTAATCCTACTTGTCCATGAGCATCGGAGAGCTTTTCATCTTCTAATATTATATTCTGTTTTTTTCATCAATGTCTTAAAGTTTTTGTCATGCAAGGCTCTCAGGTTTTGGGGTAAAGTTATCCAAGAAATTTTATATTATTTGAGGCTATTGTGAAAGGTGTTTCACTGATTTCTTTCTCACTATGTCATTGTATATAGGAGGGCAACTGGTTTTAGTGAGTTAATTTTGTATCTATTTAGCTGAAAGTTTTTATCAGCTGTAGGAGTTCTCTTGTGCAATTTTTAGGATCACTTATGTATACTATCCTACATTCTGCAAATAAATATACTTTGAATTCTCCCTTTCTAATTTGTATCCCCTTGATCTCCTTCAGTTGTCTTATTGTTCTAACTAAGACTTCAAGGACTATATTTGATAGGTATGGGAAGGATGGACAACCTTGTCCTGTTCTTGAATCTTAGTGAAATTGCATTGTGTTTCTCTCTATTGAATTGATGTTGGGTACAAATTTTCTGTAAATTTTCTTCATTATGTTGACATATGTCCCTTGAAACTCTTATATGTCCAGAATTTTTTTTTAACAGGAAGGGGTGTTGGATTTTGTCAAAGGCCTTTTCTGCATCTAATGACATAATCATGTGGTTCTGTCTTTCATTTTGTTTATATGTTAGATTACATGTATTTTGGATTATATATGTTGAACCATCCCTGCATCCCTGGGATGAAGCCTGTTGATCATGCTGGATAATCTCCTTGATGTGTTTTTAGATTCAGTTTGCAAGCAGTTTGTTGAGAAATTTTGCATCTATGATCATAAAAGAAATTGATCTGTAATTCTTTTTCTTTCTTTGGTCTTTATGTGGTTTAGGTATCAGGGTAACTGTGGTCTTATAAAAGGAGTTAAGCAATGTTCCTTCTGTTTCTGTTTTGTGGAATAGTTTAAGGAGTATTGGCATTAACTCTTCTTAGAAAGTCTGGTAGAATTCTGTACTAAAACAGTCTGGCCCTGAGCTCTCTTTGGTTGGTGTACTTTTCATTACTGCTTCTATTTCATTAAGGGCTATAGATCTGTTTCAATTGCTTATCTGTTCTTGATTTAACATTGATAGGTGGTATGTATGGGGAAAGTTATCCATTTCTTTTAGATTTTCCAATTTGGTGGATTACAGGTTTATAAGTAGTAGGTCTTTAGGATTCTTTGGACTTCCTTGGGATCTTTTCATCATCTTGGTATCTTTCTTTTCATCTCTAATTTTGTTAATTTGGATCTTCCTTCTCTGCCTTTTAGTTAATTTGTCTAAGGCTTCGAAGCCCTATTGATTCTC